AATGGCGGTATGGCCGACTGCTCGCCCGTTGCGGGCAGGGGGAAGCGGCTCTTTCACTTTCTGGTTGAAAATGTGCTCTTGCTGCGCCGCCGTTCTCGGAAGTCCCTCAATCAAAACTAATTCCGTGTGGCAGCAGCTATATGTCTGTAGTTATATTGTGTAAGTAAGGCAGTAGATAGTGATATGAAGGCGCTTGCAGGTTAGTTAGTTTAACTTCTGGTTATTTTTGTAAAAACGGTCTAGGAACATAGAGGAGAAGAGACTTCTTCAAAAGCTGGTTCAAATTCGGAAAAAAATTTTTGAGTTCTTCCAGGCGAAAGCAAGCTGATGTTTTGACTCTTAGGCACCTAATAGCCAAAAGCATGCTGTGTTTCATTAGAGCCTTTCTGGAATGGGGACTATATCAGGAGTGAAAAGGGCTGTGGTTAAGGAGAACTCAACAACAGGAGAGGTGCTAGATTACCGTTAAAAGCTTTTTGCTTTTTTGAGGCCAAGAATGTGTAGGCCAAAATGATACCACTTTCCTTATAATATAGTTATGCTAACTTTACCTGACCCCTTGTTTTTTTTCTCCTCAGTAGGAATTCTGGACATTTAGCCCCAGGTGTGTGCAGTGTATACTAAAAGGAACCTTGAAGCCATAAATGAAAAAGCCAGTCAGGTCTAAAGACCTTGCATGATATAATTTTTGAAGCTGGCTGTTTAGTGAGGTTGGTTTGTATAGAAAAACTGCGTTCGTAGAAGATCTTGCCAGTATATCTGGTTGTAATGTACAAAGGAGCCTTTTTGTTCTGAGGAAGCCCAGCTATTTTTGATCTGGTTAGTAACGTCATATGAGTCAAGTATCACAGAACAAAAAGGTGCTCTTCACTTCGAGCTATAATATGCTTCTAGTCACTTTTTGTTCTGAGGAAGCCCAGCTATTTTTGATCTGGTTAGTAACGTCATATGAGTCAAGTATCACAACAAAAAGGTGCTCTTCACTTTGAGCTATAATATGTTTCTAGTCAAGGTTGGAGAAAGACTTACAATTTAATGTAGAAGAGAAGAATGTTCATTGTATGCAAATATTGATACCAACTCCTGTGGGGGTTGGGTTTTTTCTTTTCTTCTAATGTAGCAATTTCTGATGGCTAACAAGTTGGACACAGCAATGTGGATTTCCCGCTTGTTCACAGTTTACTGCTCAGCTTTATTTGTCCTGCCTCTTCTAGGGTATGTATTGTAATATTGTAAGATAGCATTAAAAAGTTACAAAATAACTACACTCCCTTTTCATAGAGCTGTTTTTCAGGTAATGGTAAACTTTTATTATTCAGCTTACTTGGGTACTTTTTGTCAGAACAGTTTACAGATTTTAGATGTGTTTAGAAAATATGCTGAGCAACTGTAAAGTAGTGGCAAATGCATGTTTTTATGTGTAGTGAGAGAGTAATATATTGAGTTGTTTTACCTTTGGCACCTGCAGTAAGTCAGTGTTACCAGTTTTTGAGTTGTATTTTACTAATAGTGCTTATGTATGATAATAGAAATACTTCAGGTATTGTGCAATTGTGATGCAATTCTCAGGGGTGGAAGACTTCTGAGCAGGGGCTTGGTTCATATGGTAACATCTCCTCTGATGATTTGCAGGTTGCATGAAGCAGCAAGCTTTTATCAGCGTGCCTTGCTGGCAAATGCTGTTACTAGTGCCCTCCGACTACACCAAAGGCTACCGCACTTTCAGCTTAGCAGGGCATTTCTGGCCCAGGCTTTGCTGGAGGACAGCTGCCACTACCTGCTGTACTCTCTTATCTTTGTGAATTCCTACCCTGTTACAAGTATCCTTTACTTGTGTCATCCTGGTAATGTTTTTAAATATCTTAAAAACTTGATTCTTTTCATCACCTGTGCTATGATTTGAAAAACTAGTTTAAACTAGAATATGTTTGCTATTCATAGAACATACTCTGTAAAATAGGAGAGGCTTATATTGGTTGATCCATATTCAGGTTAATCACCTCTATAACTAGTGCACTGCAGTCTCTGGCTACTTAGTTTTTCTTTTCCTGAAACTTAAGTTCAGTGGATTTTATGACTAGCCTCAAGTGATACTTTGAGAAGTTGTTAACTTTCATTTATTACCAGTACAGAGTTTATGTGACTCCTCACTGTAAGTAGGACATATATCATGTAGAGAGACAATTATTTAGTAGTAGCTTTTTCAGATAAGTTATTAAACAGATAAAGTCTGCAAAAAAAGACTTACTCCTGTGGCTCGCCAAAGGTGACATGTAAGAACTGACTTTCCTTTGTGCCACTTTGTATGTAAGCTTAATGTATTACTCTTAAAATGTCTCTGGTAGAGGAATGTCTGCATTCTTGCTCTCTTAAAATCTGAATGACTGGCAACTGCACGTTCTTTTGTAAAGAAATGCATTTTGTAGAATCTCTTAAAAATATGATGACTGCATTTATTTGATAGATTTTAAGTAGTAACTTCATGTGTGTCTTTCATGCAGAAAGATTACATTTCAGTAGAAATGCACTGGTGTGTAATGGCATATGTTGTACTTTTGCATACCTGCAGACACACATGTTTTGAAGTTAATAAAAAAGCACAGTGAAGCAGTGTAAGATGCAAAAGGAAGAGCTGTAAATATAGATGTTAGAAATATGTGTCTTAATCCAGTACAGGTCATTCCAGCCATCCTCTTCCAAAGCGCCATCAAGGTGTGACTTCTGTGTTAGCACAACATCACAGAGAAATGAAGCACTTGTGCAGCCTATAGTTTTCCTTATCGCTTGCTTCAGTGAGTATTTTTCCAGTTCTGCTGTTCTCTTTGCTTCATGCTGCCACATATACAAAGAAGGTTCTTGATGTAAGTATGATAAGATTAATACTGTTGATATTCTTGGGGTTTATAAAAAGACTTGAGTTGTAGCTAAAGGAAACTGTAACTGCACCAGAGGAATTACGAGTGAAATTGTAGTATGGAATCTCAGCACAGAAAATCTAAGAAGTCTTTTTTTGGTGTGTGGTTTTTTTTTCTCCTTTTCTGTTATGACTCAGTGATATGTAGGAGTTGACAGTAATTATTTTTCTTCAAATGCTGTTCTTTGAAGGATGCAAAAGCTATGTAACAGTTAAGTTGAAACTTAAGACATGTCTCTTTGAGCTAAACCATAGCTTGTGAATTTCACATAAACCTGTGAAATTCAATATTCTATTTCAGTAGTAAAATCACAAACTGCAGGGTGAGGCTAGCAAGCAAAATACTTGGCAGTTGGACCTGCTGCTCAGTGAAGAGCTTTGTGCAGCTTAATGTAACTCCAGCCTTTGGTTTTCCGCTCTGGGCTATCTTGCTGCCATAGGCACTTCCTCCTAGTGGACAGAGTAAGGCTTGTGACCATCTCTATGCAGTTGAACCTAAAATGGGTGGCTGAGGGAATTGCAGCACCTCATGTTTTTAATTGAACTCTCTATAATTATGGAGTTCCAAGCTTCCAGTAGTGTTCTTTGGGATACTAATCTCAATAGTTTTAAAGGGTCTAGTCTTAAAATGCTGAAATAACTTGTAAATTATGATTGTCAGTATTTTGGTTTCTTTGTGGTAGAGAAGATAGGTTTAACTTGCATGTTTTCTGGCAATCCTTTTCTCTTCTTTAAAGGCACGAAGTTCAAACAGCCTGCCCTTTCTGAGAAATCTTTTAGAGAAACTGAATGCTAATCAACAGAATATTCTAAAATTCATTGCTTGCAATGAAATTTTCCTGATGCCAGCTACAGTTTTTATGCTCTTCAGGTAAGAATTACTATAAATATTTTCAGAATTAGAAACTTTCTACACAAGGTTAAACAAAGTTTAACATCTTTGTTGGTGACATGGACGGTGGGATTGAGTGCACTCTCGGCAAGTTTGCCAACGACACCAAGGTGTGTGGTGTGGTTGACACGCTGGAGGGAAGGGATGCCACCCAGAGGGACTTGGACAGGCTGTACAGGTCAGCCTGTGCAAACCTCATGAAGTTCAACAGGGCTAAGTGCAGGGTCCTACACCTGGGTGGGGCAATCCCAAGCATGAATACAGGCTGGGCAGAGAATGGATTGAGAGCAACCCTGAGGAGAAGGACTTGGGAGTGTTGGTTGATGAGAAGCTCAACATGAGCCGGCAATGTGCACTTGCAGCTCAGAAAACCAACCATATCCTGGGCTGCATCCAAAGCAGTGTGACCAGCAGGTCGAGGGAGGGGATTCTCCCCCTCTACTCCGCTCTGGTGAGACCCCCCCTGCAGTACTGCCTTCAGCCCTGGGGCCCCCAACACAAGAAGGACATGGACCTGTTGGAGCAAGTCCAGAGGAGGCCACGAAGATGATCCAAGGGCTGGAGCACCTCTCCTGTGAAGACAGGCTGAGAGAGTTGGGGTTGTTCAGCCTGGAGAAGACTCTGGGGAGACCTTAGAGCAGCCTTTCAATACCTAAGGGTAGCCTACAAGAAAGCTGGGGAGGGACTTTTGATAAGGGCATGGAGTGATAGGACAAGGGGCAATGGCTTTAAACTGGAAGAGGGTAGATTTATATAAGATATTAGGAAGAAAGTTTCACCATGAGGGTGGTGAAGCACTGGAAGAGGTTGCCCAGAGAAGCTGTGGATGCCGCATCCCTGGAAGTGTTCAAGGCCAGGTTGGATGGGGCTTTGAGCACCCTGGTCTAGTGGAAGGTGTCCCTGCCCATGGCAGGAAGGTTGGAACAAGATGATCTTTAAGGTCCCTTCCAACCAAACCATTCTATGATATGATTCTATGAAGATTACTTTTTGCAGTTGAGATCTCTGTGGATCACAGATGTCCGTTTGTATGGTTCTGGCTGATCAAGTTGGTGCATCGTGAAATTGAAAAGCATTCACTCCTATATAACTGAGCATCAAAAAACCCTTCCCTTTCATAGCATGGGTGACATTGTTGGGTCAACAAAGTTTTTCAGGCTTGTAACTTGTGTTCTCCTACGTTGTTCAGCAAGTTTAATTTTGAGCAGTGTAATAGAATATTAAATTCTTTACCTTCACTGAAAGTGAACTCTTATTTTTAATTGTTAGATTCCAGAAATTTAAGTGGCATGAAATTTCATTGTGCTAAAAGTATGCAAGCAGGAGTAGGTTATGTCCTCTCCTGTGTTACTTCTGACTGGTGACCCTTGCCTTTTTTTTTTTTCCCATTTTTTATTCCATGTGGTTTTGCCTGCTGTGCAGCCTGTTGAATTCATTTTGGGGGTCTTGTGGTGTTGGAATCCTGCTAAAATCATATAGGCATTGCAACCTGCCAGTCACTGAAGTTTGGGTCATTGCCTTTTAATATTGGAGGGGAAATAATGCCCTTTGTTCTATACAAGTCATAGCACAGTGAGAGCATTTGTCTTGAGTGGTCTCGCAGGCAGCAGAAGGGAGGCTTTATCTTCTTGGAAGTTGATAGAATGCATAATTTATCTTTTGATATGTCCGCTGAACACGTCAATGCTTCAGCCTTGAAGGATTCCATTTCATTTAAGACCACTTAGAAACTGACAGATATGCTCTGCATCCAGTATCTGAAACTTTCAAGTGCTTTAAACTTCTCTGTAGGAAAATCTGCCCCCCTTCCCCCGCCCCCAGAGAATTTAGTATGTGAAGTGTTGCTACTTGGTATATCATCTAGTAGATATGGAAGCTCATAAAAGATGATATACCAAATCTTAAAATTGTGTAATAGTTAAATGCAGCTATTGTGAGAATTTGTATTAGCATATTAAATTGCTTGTAAATACTGTACAGTTGCAAGATTTCCTATTTTCCCTCTCCTTTTCACTTTGTATTTTTTCTTCGGGGTAAACGCATTGCTTGTACTTGAAGGAGCTGTAGTTACTGGAACTGTCATGTTCAACTTCAAAGAGAGCTTTTTAATATTGTGTTATATAAAGAAACTTTAGTCATTAAAATTAAACTCATGGTATTTGTGTGCTTTGCTATGTATTGTTGTATGCTACCCTTTCACTATTTTACAGCACCATTATGTGAAATGGCAGCTGTGTAAAGTATCAAACCTCAGTTTTGGTGTAACTGAAATAGTCGGATATCAGCTTGTATTAATGTGTCAATACATCTCTAATAGTCTCCACTGTGTTCTGAGAAGTTTTGCAAAAGATGCTAGAAATATGGTCCAGATATTCGAAGTGCTATGATTAGAGCTGAAAAAGCTTGCTGTGACTGGACTATTTATGTCAGCCCATTTCTGTGCTTGACCAGTCAGCTTTTTCTTAATACTGAACAGGCATCCACTATAACTTCTGTGATTCTTTGCCTACGACCAGAAATGAGGCATATAAAAAGATTTCATAAAATCAGTTCAAGAATGGCACTTCTTTAACTGCTTCATTGAGCAGTTTTATTCTATAATGTAAGTTTCTGCTTTTGTAGGTGTATGGTTATGTACTTTTTCTTGTCAGAACTAGATTATCTGAAGCAATGTGACCCCAATCTAGAATTTTTGAGATGAGTTTGCTCGCTTTTATTAGGAAAAGTCCTGATTTTTTTTTTTGGGTCAGTATTAAGCTCTACTTCTCTATTCTCTTTCAGTGGGCAAGGGAGCCTGCTCCAGCCGTTCATTTACTATAGATTTCTTACATTGCGCTACTCTTCTCGGCGGAATCCATACTGTCGGTAAGCACTAAATTGATTTTGGAAGTTAATGTTTCACTGCATAGTGTTAGGCACTCAGAAATTTTTCATTCTAAAATGAATGCGTAACTTGTAATACTAAATCTGCAAATGATAGTTACAGAATGTGGAGTACATCTGGATGCTAAAAAACCAGCTGGTTCAAGGTTACATGTATTTCATGTAACTGAACTTTTCTGAAATGTACCACCATTCCTGAATGGGAGCTTTCAGAACATGCTTGTGTAATTATAACTATGCTTTGGGAGAAGAAATTCTTTTAATTGTTCTGCAACCATTTACCAGAAAAATACCCTTAATTTTAGATTCCAGGCCTATCTGAGTCTAAGTCTATACATGAACAGGCACTTACGAACTTGTGTAATGTTGACCAAAAAAAAATAAAAAAAATCTCTTATCTTAAACACGTTCATTACCTCCTTTAGTTAAATTCGTAAGTCAAGTTAATTATAATTGAAATAGAGCATTATTGATTTCGTTTGAAAGTTAGTCAAGCCAATAGTATTTCTTTAAACTTTGAACCATAAATATTTCTATGAGGATTTTCTCAGGTCAGTGCTTTCTCAGAACTCTTCTTATGACAAGTGTTGTATAGCATAAGATTTTGTGAACATACCTACCAGTCTGATCACTACTCAGTTAGAAAATGGTTTGCTAAAGTATCAAGGAAGTGGCTTTGGCTGCCACGGTATGCAAAGAAAGGTATGAGAATCATAAACTGAATTGCCTCCTATTCACTGCTATTTTGTAGGAAATCAATTGTTCCACCTTAGTACATGTATTTTTTTTTAACCAAAAAAAAAAAAATCTATCAAGGCACTTTACTACTTTGGCATCTAAAAATGGTTCAAGTTGTGCAATACTAAAACTAAGTTTTGATAGAACTAGTTTACCCAATATGTTCTGCTGGCATTTATGTAGTTTTAAGGGAAACTGGTGGTGTGGGTTTTATTTCTCATGTCTGTCTTCTAATAGTTGCTTCTAGAGTGCAGGGTTCTTGCATTCTGGCAAGAAGCAGCACAAACAAACAATTACCTCCTAACTCCTTATGCTATTTCTGATAAAGCATTACTCTCTCTTTTTTTAATAGTTTTTTTTGCTTGAAGGTGGAATTTTTCTGCTGTCTTTATATCTGTCCTCAGCTGGAAGCTGTTGAACTAAAGTTAATTAAAATGTTAATGTGTTAAAGGGCAAGAATTCTGAAACTCTTGCAAGATACTGCAACACTGAGTTGATCTAAAGAACTTGCTAACTAGAGTGTGTGGGAGTTCTTGAGAGAAGTGAATGAAAAAGATACATTTAGATGATACTTACTTTTAATAAATGCTGTAGGATTTTAAAACTCTCTTTAAATCTGATTTTTCAGGACTCTCTTCACCGAGCTGAGAATTGTTGTTGAACACTTAATAATGAAGCCCTCATGCCCTGTTTTTGTAAGAAGACTATGCCTCAGCAGCATTTCCTTTATAAGCAGATTGGCACCAACTGTTGCATAGCCAAATTTCAGGCACTGGTGTTTTGTGAACGTTATGAGCAGCGGGCACTTCTGCTGATGATTATAAATTCCTGGTTCTACACTGATCTCACTCCAGACTGTATAAAAGTGTGTATATGCTTTTCTTGGAGATAAGTCATGGAAATTTAAAATTACTCTGCTGTATTGCTAATCGGTGAAAAAAACAAACAAAAAAACCCAGAAAAGTAGGTGCATCCTATCCAAAACATGGCCAGTCATACAGAATTGGGGTTTTTTTTAAGGAATCAAGGATTGTTTGAGGTTGTGCTCAGTAGGTTTATGTTAGTTGGAACTATAGCTACTGTAGGATGTCTCCAGTGGACAGCAGTTGGTACACATACCTATGCAGTACACTTTGGACAGTATTCTTCTGCTTACTAGATGTATCTGTAGAACCGTTTTGTCTAAATTATATACTCAATGTAAAAATATGGCCCACTTAGATTTTTAACCCCTTTTGTTAAATTCAGTCAAGCTGACATAGTTAACACCTTTTCTGAAGGAGAGGCTATTTTTGTTAATACTACTTAAAAAGAACTCTTCCAAGATTCTACCTTGTGACATACTCTTACATTACGTTGTTGGAAGAAATCTCAAGATTCTGATCACAGAAAACTCTGTGCGGTTATCTTGTCATAACAAGATGTTTTACCAAGCCAAATTGCTGACCTGTAGACTTTTCAGACAAAGATGCAATGCTTAAACTTTTAACCATTTCTTAAGTGAACTAATCAATATAAATGAAGTAACTTTTGCAGAATTGTTGCAGATTTGGTTTTGTGTCCACACAAATGTGAAACGGCAGTAATTCAAGCATGTCAGCTTTTTAGAAAATTAATCTTTAGCTAGCTCTATATAAATTATTCTTCCAGCTTCTGAGATTCTCATTGTGATGGGAAATTTGCACAAAGGATTGCACCTGTTTAGACATCTTCTGAAAGAAATGGGTATGGGATTTTTTGGCATAAATCCATCGGATGACTGATCTGAAACCAGTGTCATGACTACAGAAGTGAATATTAAATTGAGTGCTTATTATGCATTCACGCAGCAGCTGAAAGGTAGGTCATGGAAAAGGAATATTATCTGTCTGAACACAACTTATTTCCATAAATTCAAGGCAAAGTATTTGCCTCATCTTATGTAGTTAATGTTAGTATTCTAATTGCATAAAATTAAATGGTTTTCATTGGCCTTTTGTAAACTTCTATAGCACTGTACTTAACTATTCTTCTTTGGTCAGAGAAATCTTATGTGAAACACTCAAACACGGTCTTGAAGCAAAGTATTTTCCTGTAACTTACTGAGTTATCTTGTTTGTGATGTGGATATCATTCAGACTTTCCAGTTGTATTCATTTGTTAGATGAGAGCCATGTATTTATAAACTTCATTTTTTGCTCAACCTCTTGGTACTGATGAACCAATTGGTAATTGAATATGATATTCTTTGACTACTTGTCTTGCTCTCTGAACATGATTAGCTATTTATAGAACACTTGCACACTGCAGAAGCAACTGCATGCAGTAATGGTCTACAGCTGCTAAAGACTTGCAACGAGATTCACTATATGTATATCCTGAAGACTTTTATAAAAACTAAAATTTCTACTGCAATAAAAGGAGTGTTAAATGTAATTTGCTAGGCTCTCCAAGCTTATTTTCTCTCTAACAGAACATACTGATGCTTGAACCTGGAAGTTGAGCAGAATGCTGTCCTGCGTGTATGTGTGCATGTTCTTATATTCCCACTGCTGCTTCTGAATTGGGGCATAAAGTCTTGTGTGTTTGTAAATTATTTTATAGGGAATTTTTGCCTTCTAAAGTGCAAAAATTTATCACCCTTTCCATCAAAATTTAACCCAAGAATAAGCACTGCAACAATGGTATTTAATCAGAGCAGAAATCTAGACTTACTTATTACCATTTCAATTCTTCAGCACTATTCTAGATCCTCTTTCATGTTACATGGTATATTTTTTCAAGTAGAGACATCAGACTCTGTTCGGTTTTTTGCACCACTGATTTAAAAATGAATTTGGTCGTCTAAATTGGTTCCCCATACTGGGAATGGAAAGCAAATATGTTTGTAACACTGTAAGCCAAATAACATGTTACTTCAGAGCAAATTTTTGTGGTCTAAGACTGCTGTTATGGGTGCAGTCTACTATTCCTTTAATTGTATGCTGTTAATAAATTAGAGAGGAGTCTAAATTGGATATGATGCTTTGCAACTGAAGGATGCTAAGTCTTGAGATCCAACTCTATGAATGGACGACGAAGACGAAAATGAGCAAGTGAATGAGATTTCAGTAAGAGAGTTGGAAGACAGTGCCATGAAGTAGAGCTTATATGTGGATACTGAATTTCTTGTTAACTTTCTATTAAGTCTTAAAAAAAGAATCAAGAGGAGGAAGATGTTTCATGAATGGGATTTGATTTGATTTGGCTAGTGATACAGTCTTGCCCTTGCAAGGAGTTGCTTGACAAATGAGGCCTGGATTTTACATATGGCCTGGTAAAACTTATTTCTCTGTGGCAAGAAAACATGGAACAATGGGGTAAGAAGAACTTCCAAGCAAAGTAAATAGGGCAACTGACCTGGACTCAGCATCAATTTTGATTTTTTGCTGCAGCCTTTAGGCTGCCTAAGTGGTAACACCAAGTTTCCTCAGTGCTGGCAAAAACATTCTGTCCTTGTGCCTGCTTCCTTACCGCAGTCTGTGGCTGTTTCTATACTAACAATTAAATTAAACACATAAAATCCTGGTTGTGTCCTGATAGCTTGAGATTTTTCTGGTGAAAAGAACTGTATGTTCATGCTGCTTTGCTGTCAACAGCTAGCTGTGATGGCGAGGCTGTAGCAGAAGTCTGTGCTAGTGAAGAAATTTTGCAACTAACCATAAAATGGGCCTGCCAACCCCAAATGTGAAGCAGAGGAGTTTTTGTCCTACTGAAAGGCTGTCTACCTAATGTGGTAATTGTTTCCACTGGTATAAATCACACTGGTGATCATTGTTACTGTCTTAGCTTTCCTAAGTTAAAGTGCTGTTGCATAGATTCTGTAGGTAGGCCTACTCCTTGCTGTGAACAAGCTTGCTGTACAAGTGATGCTCCAGTGTAAGACTTGTCTGTTCTCACCTGTAGACAGATAAAGCATCAGGACCCACTGGGTCTGTTGGAGCAGCTAATGCCAGTTGGGATTTCTTACACAGTAATGCATTAATGCATCTATCGTTTCCTTTATTGTCTTCTATTTAATTTTATACTTTTATTGCCATTTTTGTGCTGTCAGTTTTATGTTTTGTTCCCTTCTTTGGGTGTTCAAGGGGAGCAACGTGCATTATTATTTTGTTACATGTTTTAAAAGATTTTTTTTAGTATGTTATAATCATGAGCCACTGTTTGTTCCAACAGTTTTTGAGCTGCTAACTATATACATGATAGTGCTGTCCAAACAAAAAACGTAGCTTGTTATCTTGTACAGTCTGTGTTGGACCTTTTTATTGTTAGGCACCGATATTGCAACATTTGCCATACAGATCCCTTGTTAATTAAGGAAGTATAGTTCTTGTCCATTTTAAACAGGAACTGAGGCATGGAAGGAAAGACCTGAGGCAATGCAAGAGCTCTGGCAGAGCAGGAAATAGGAAAAAGAGCTGGACAAGCGTCCAGGGGAACTGTGATTTGTTTCTACACCATATATGACTTGTTGATCCTGTTTCCAAAATGATACTAACTGCTGCTTAAACAGTTTTAAAAAGTACTGTACCTTATGGTGCTCAAATTAAGGGTAGCAAAGACCATTGGGCTAAAGCAGCATGTTCTCTTAGAGTGATGTCAAAAATTGATTCCCATGTGCAAGAGCTAGGTATGGACCATGGTATCATCATGTTTCTGGTGAGGAAAAATAATGCAACAGAGTAAGATCACAAACATTTACATGCTAGATGTTAGTAGGGTATGCTGATCTGTTGTAATTGTCTATAATTGCTGCAGTGCAAGTGTTTGTGGTTAAACTATATATACTGAAATTGGTTGCTGTATCTTTGTACTGTAACTTTTGCTGTGCTATAACTTTCTTAAAATCACGGAAGAGTCAGGCCTTGCTGTTTTAAATCATCTTTTAAGGATAGAACCTTAAGCAATCCTTTATTTCAAAGATGCATTATCAGTATGGATAATGTAATTGAATTTAATCTTAAATGTGGATTCAAAAATATCTTTTTCATAAAATGTCAGCATTACTTATTAACACTTCTGCAGAAGCTAGCTCTGTGACAATAGCAGATATTGTGCAGGTAAGGGAGTTTCATTGCTTAGTTCTGTGCCATCCAGATGGTACAAACTTCTAAAATGAATTGAAAAATTCATCTTTTACTTGTATTCAAGGACTGAGGCACAAAATGCTAATGTAAGGGCTCAGAGGGGAAATATAGTTCTCCTGCATATTTGAGAAAATGTGAAGCCCTTTCAAGAAAATCTAATAAACATAATAATCACAGGCTGCTGACACTAAGGAAAAAGCACCTCATTCGCTCTTTCTTTTATGGAGCGATTTACTGGTCCCTACTGATTTTCAAATTGGATCACTGCAGTAAATTATCCATGCCAGTACCTGTGAAAGAAAGCACTGGGATCCATATTTGTTTAGTGCTGTGCTTAAATCAGCAAGAATGACAAATTTGATGGTATGAAATTGGAAATATCAAGGGCTTTTCTCAGTGAACGAGCAAGTATCTCCATTTGTAATTTATTGTGACCCTTTTCACTGTATGTGCTTTGTATGTCAAATATTTATTTCGAAACAAATTAAATTGTTTTCTCTATTGATACAGCTATGGTTTTGTTGATATTCTTGAAATCAAATTGTATAGGGTTTTTTTCTGGGTTTAAAATATTACCAATGTTGTGTTGCAAAACAGTACTTGTTTAAGTTCAAATCTCCAAGTTTAGTTACTGACCAACAGCTTTCCATGTTAAATGTTCTAGGTGGATGTTGGGTGTTGTGCTTTTTTGTTTTGTGGGTCTTTTTTGTGTGTTTAGAATAGTGCAGGATGCAGTAAGCTAC